TTTCTTCTTCCAAAATATTCCTCAGTCCTCTGACATCTGAGGTTACTGATCTCGGTTGTCCAATAGTAAGTACTGTTCCCACCAAGATCATGAAGGCTCACTGCTACCAACCCCAGTGGACTCTTCATTCCTTATGCCTCACTCCTCAGCAGCATTCAACACTGCACCCTTCCTTCTTCCCTTAGCTGTCATTGCACCACACTTTGCTAGGTTTTATCCTGTCTGCTTGTTCCTCTCTCCCTGCCCTCCTTTTATGTTCTCCACTTTCTTCCTCAGCTCTTTTCTCTTCTCATGCTACACACTTTCTGTGGCTGATCTGTTACTCTCCTCCCATCTATATGTTAATACCGCCTAAACCTCTGTCTGCAGCCACCACCTCTCTTCCCCCAGGCTCCATTTGTAAAAAACCTGTCTTAGGAAATGGCCCCATCACTCACCCAGTTGCCAAGTCAGAAATATGGGATGCACTCTTGACTTGTCCTTCTCCATATCCCACACAGCAAAGCAACCCTCAAGACCTGTCAACTCTACTTCCTAAGTATCCCCCCCTCCCAATAAAACTAATACTTTCCATTTCCCTCTACCTTAATTCTGGTTTCTATTTTTTCCCTGGGATTGCTGCAAAAGCTTCTGATCTCTCCCCTTCCTAAACCAGTCTGCACACTGCAACAAGAGTAATCTAAGACACAAATCTCTTCTTCTTTGTCTTAGCTTAAGGTTCTTCAGTGTACCTCTAGATCAGGGGTCAGCAAACTGCGGATCACGAGCCACATGCAGCTCTTTGGGTACGTTCCATCTCAAAAGTTTGCCGACCCCTGGAAGAGCCAATCCTGTCCCTCACAACAATTTAAAAATTATTCAAGAGCCATAAATATATTTTTACATAATCACCATTGTGAATAATATCCTTTAAAAATTTTATAAATGACACTGATAGTTTTATTTTCATTTTCAATTTTACTTCGGAGGCTTGCGAGCCGCAGTTTGCTGACTCCTGGTGGCTTTTCCATCTCAAAAGTGTGCCGACCCTGCTATAGATTAAAGCCTACATCTTTCATATGGCTGACAAGGCAGAGCAACAGCTGGCTCATCTACCCCTCCAGATTCACCTTTCCCCACTTCTCCCTTGGATCCTCTGCCGCAGCCATGCCGAACAAGTTAGTCTGCCAAAGCTGTCATGTGCTTGCTCCTCAACCTTTGCTGTCCCATCTGGAATGCTCTTCCCCTCTCAATGCCTGGCTGGTTCCTGTTCACTCTTCAGGCCTCAGCATGGACCTCTGTTCCTCTAGGCTTCCTCTGACTTACCCAAACTGGCTTAGCTTTCCCTGTTGGGTGTTCCCATAGTAATTCTTTACCAGACTACTGATTTTTTTCAGTCATATGTAACTTGCTATACAAACACAGCTTCCAGCCCTGTCCTCCACTCCTTCCTGATCAGCATCCCAAGGCCCTTCCCATATAAAGCCAGTGCTATCCCATGGGACCCTGTACTACCCTTCTCACAGCACTTACCATACTTTTGTAGTTGTTTCCATTCTCCAATGAATTGTGAACTCCACAAAAAA